GGATTCTAGTGGCTGCATTGCAGCGAATTTTCAAAATGGGGACGGCCGCATTGAAACGGGCAGGAAGATGGGCTTTTTACTGAGGTTAGTTGAAGGAAAGATTCATGGGTTCCAGTTACACCTAGAAGAGTTCCTCCCCCCCTCCCCCGCCAAGAGGCCAGATAACCATCCAGAACCAGTGTCATGGAGCATTTGTTACTGGCTCTGATTTAGGGGACCTGATTTCCCACAGTAGTTTTAATAAGAGCCTGACATACAGAAAATTAGCAGGTGGCTTTCCTACCACTTTTTTCCATGCCTGGAAAAACCTTGCTTGTAAAATCTGGGTTGTCAAATTCAGATGGCTGACTCTGTTAAAGGCAGAGGAGCAGAACCAGTAAAATGGTTGGCAGCGCCAAGTTTTGCAGGGGAGCTGAAGCTGGAAATGGGGAAATGCAGCCAGGCTGCTGTTGAGCTGGTCCCCCTGGCTGGTTAGGGGATGTCTTCTGGGGGCTTTTCGGGAGAGCAGATAAATGGTCAGAAGTTACTGTACCTTGGCTCACGAACGTCCCAGTTCACGACCAAATTGGGTCGTGAACAAAAATTTCATAAAAATGTTGACTCAGGTCGTGAACTCCGCATTGGGTGGCAGCCGCGAGTGGGGCCATCTCCGCACCCCCTGAGTGGGGAGATGGCCGCGATCGTGCTGGGGATGCTGGGGGGAGATGGCCGAGATTGTGCCCGTCTTTCCTGCAGGAGCGCAACTGCGATCTCAGCCATTCCCCCCCCCCCAGCATGATCATGCCCGTCTCCCCCCCGCAGCCCACCACGTTCGTGTCCGTCTCTCCCCCCCAGCGCACCAGGATGAAGGGCGCAATTGTGGTGATGCTGGGGTGGGGTGGGGAGATGGCTGCAATCTTCGTTGCTCTTTGTCACTTTGCTTCAGATTTTTGTGAGTTAAAAAAATAGTTGCAGAACGGATTAACCTTATTGGCATTGAGCCTTATGGGGAAATTTGACTTGGCTCACGACCAACTTGGGTCACGACCAGAGTCCTGGGACAGATGACGTTCGAGAGCTGAGGTGCCACTGTGCTTGTGTGTAGGGAGTCCAGCAGTGCCGAAAAGGCTGCTGGGGAGGTCATAGAAACACAGAAAACAGCGCAAGTCAGAAGGGGCCTCCTGGGCCATCTAGTCTGACCTCCGGCACCAGCCGGCTCCACTCACGACATGCCCACCATGTGGACGTCCAGCCTGTCCTGGACGTCGGCTTGCCCCAAGGAGCGAGTGACCCAAATGCTGGCAGCTCCTGTGGGGGCCATGGGACAATTTGTTTCCGGCAAGGAGCGCTTCCACCCCCAGACGTGCCTTCCTGCTACATGGACAAAGTGACTGGATCGTGTGTCCCTTTGTGATGCTTTATGGTTTCTCTTGGAATGAAAGAGCGGAGAGGGGGCAGAACTAGAGCCCCGGACAGAGCCGGAGGCCTTGCAGTGTGAAAGAGACAGGGAGGAAACAGGGATGCTACGGAGAAGCTTGAGTGCTTCTCCCAAGGTGGGCAGGATTCCACTCGGGGTGTTTGCAGTGGCCTGGAAAGGTGTGAAGGGATCCATCTCTCTCCCCACACCGTCCTCTTCCCCAGTCAGAGAGGTGGCGTGGGGGAGGCCCGAGGACCCCTTAAGAGACGGAGCTTTTCTTCTGGGTCACACCCCTTTTCCTTCCGCCGTGACTGCGGATGGTCCCCTCCTGCACCGGGGAAGATCAAGCCCTGAGGTAGTCAAGAAGGTTCAGATAATGGGTGTGAGAGGCTTTGACTGCTCAGAAGTGTTGTATTTAAATATTGAGCATAGCACTGGGCTTCTTAAAAACACTCATTAAACAAAATGAATGCGCTGTGTTGCAATCGTTGCTGTTGGATTTCGTCTTCCTTGAACACCCAAGACCAAAACCGGGCACGGTTTTCCCAGTGAGCGCCATGATACTTACATTATGGGAACAGGTTTGGGCAAACGCAAGTGCTATGCTTCTCTGAAATACGGGGTTTCTCCAGATTTGAGCTCTTCTATTTGATTATAAAATATTAATGAAATAATAATTGAATGCCAACTATTTTTTGGCTCTCCTCTCTCAGGAAGTAGAAGTATTATTTATTTAATTTCCTCGAGTATGTGAGCTTCTAGGTCACACAAAACTCTTGCATTATTGCAAAAAAGAAGAGGGCACTCCTGTGCAGCGAAGGGTGCTGTCCTGGGTATGTTTAGACGGAAAAAAGTCTGCCTGAGCATGCCTTGGACTGGACTGGACTGGACTGGACTGGATGGGGCCCTCAGTCCAGTGGATTTCAATGCTTGTGCCCAACTCTGCACAGGATCTGGCTGCAGATTTCCGGGATTGCATCTCGAATGAGTGCCTTTCCCACATGGGCGGGATCACACGACCTTTAGATCTTGTTCTATCCATGGCACAGCTTGTTTCCCTTGCGACTAACTTGTGAAGTTTGCATTGACTCGCTGATAAAAACAAACCAGTGCCAATCTTTCTAGCAGCTGCTTAAGACAACTCTTTGTTACATATCTGGAGTAGGACTGTTCATAGCCTCGTTAAATGAGTAGCTAATATGTGGTTGTATACACGGCTTGCGCAAGGGTGTAAAGACCTCTCCTGGATCAGGCCCAAGTTCTACTTAGTCCGGTCTCCAAGAACAGGCTTTGCAAGTGTACAAGCAAGTCGCCCTTGCATGGTCACCCCACGTGGCGTGCAGAGGAGGGTGATCCCCTGAGTACAGAAACTGCAAGCAGCTGCTGTGGCAAATAGATGAGAAGAGAAACACAGAAGCACAGAAAACAGAGCGAGCCGGAAGGGGCCTCCCGGGCCATCTAGTCTGACCCCCGGCTCCAGCCGGCTCCGTTCATGACATGCCCACCATGTGGACGTCCAGCCTGTCCTTGAACACCCGCACCGATGGGGTCTCAACGACCTCCCGGGGAAGCCCATTCCACACCCTCGGGGTCCCGACTGTCAGGAAGTGCTTCCAGGCATCCAAATGGAACCTTGGCTCCCTGAGCTTTGCTCCGTTGGAGCGTGTCCTGCCTTCCTCTGCAGGGGAGAACAGGCCTCTACCCACCTCCTCTGACACCCCTTCACATATCTGTATGTCGCCAACAGATCCCCTCTGAGTCTCCTCTTCTCCAGGCTGAAGAGACCCAGTTCCCTCAGTCTCGCCTCATACGGCATCCCCTGCAAACCGGCCACCAACCTTGTGGCCCTTCGCTGCACTGACTCCAACCTGGCTATATTCTTCCTGTAATGAGGGGCCCAGAACTGAGCACAAGACTCCAGTTGTGGGCGCACCAGAGTCGTGGCAGTAATCCCTCTCTCGATCTTGAAAGAGACCGTCCAGGAGGCCCCCGAGCCCAGCCTTGCTCCGCTTCCACACGTGGTCAGCCACCCAGCTGCCGGCCCACACCTTCCCAGCTCAGCAAAGATGGGGCGCCATGCTGCGGCACCATGCAGGCAGGGCTGTGAGCGAGGCCCTCCGTGAAAAAAGTCCGGTCTTTTTTCAAAGCAACAGTCAACAGGAAGAAGTGCCTGAATCTGGAGCCCTTCCTGACCTTCTCCGACTGGCTGAAAAGCAGCCCTCTGACGGCCCTCGGCCTCATCCTTTCCAGCTCCTCTTTCCCGGCAGCTTTTCTGGCCGAGGAGCTGCGGGGGGCGCGGGGACCGGGGGCGCCTCCCCCCCCAGGCCTGCCTTGTCAGGATGAAGCAGTACTCTCTGTGGGAGCCAGAGAGGAGAGCGAGCATTCTCCGTCGTCTCTGCCCTGCGGCCACGGGGCTGCTTGGAGCGTGTGTTGGAGGGAGGGAGAGAACAAACATGAAAACAGGGAGAAATTAGACAAGGGCGTCTTCGCGATCGGTCTGGACTCCAGGCCTCTGAATGACCACCCGGGACAGCTGCAGTTCTTGAGGGTCTGGGGGGCAGGCCAGGCAGTGCACGGGGCTAGAGAGGCGAAGGCCACCTGGCCCCTTTGGAGCCTTCCGCTTGCTTGCTTTAAAAAAAAAGCATGTTGCTAGCCCTTAGGTTTATCAAAATGCGAGGAAACTCGGGCTTTAGCATTCTGGCAACGAGCACAAAGACTTGTGCAAGAGAGTGTGGACGTGTGTGTGGAGGACGCGGCTCTGCATTGAAGCCCCCTCCCAGTGCGGAATTCCTCCCCTGCGCTTGAGAGCTTATGCATCCATTTCGACTATTTAAATAACATCATTTAATTGGCAGATTATTCAAAGGAAGCCTGACTTTTGGAATCCGTTGAGGTTAACAGTGAATTTGCAAAGGTGGCGGTTTACTGGGGTGGGGCTGTGATTTAAGAGCACCTGTCTACTGATCAGGCAGGCAGGACTTGTGTTCACTCCAGCGCGTTGTTGTGGTGGCGAATTAAAAAACCCTCTTAAAGAAGCGATTCATCTTCTAGTAACAGGTAGTAGATAGTTGCCTATTAAAGTCGAGGCGATTTCACTTTCCTTCAGTTTCTCAGAAAGGTTTTGGTAATATGTGACTTAATTTAACTTGAACAATTAGAAGGTTGGCATTTGAGAACCACAAATTCCTTCTGTGGCTGATAGGCAGCAAAGGAAGGGTGTGCCTGTGCGTGCCTGAGTGTGCAACCGGGGGAGAGAGTGAGTGTGCAACCGGGGGAGAGAGTGAGTGTGCACGCACGCACAGAAAGCCCCTGCTGGTTAATGAGGTTGTGGTAACTGGGAAAGGGAACAGAGAGGGCCCTTCTCTGTTCTTGCCTCTTCGGCCTTGACTCCTGGTGTGGTGCCGGTGGCGGCAGCGGCGGCGGCAGCAGCAAAACTCCCACCTCTTGCCCCGATGGACCCTCCCCGGCAGCCCACTCGCCTCCCCGCATGTGCGCGCCCTGGCCGGGGTGGAGCAGGCCCCCTCCCCCTCCCCCTCGCGCCCTTCCACTCGCGCGACCCCGCAGCCCGTCCGGGAACTAACGTGGCTCGCCTGTGCTGTTGTAGGGGGCAGATGGCGTGCCGGAACCTGAGGGCATCGCTCTCAAACGCGTCGCGGTGGTGGAAGATTTCTTTGACATCATCTACTCGATGCATGTGGAGAGCTCGGCGGAGCCCGGCAAAGCCCCCAAACATGCCGGGCAGAAGAAGACGTACCGAGCGGTGAGCCTTTCTCTTTCGCAGGAGGCGCAGGTGGCCGGGGGCGGCTCCCCACGGTTGCCCCCGCCACCCCGGAGTCCGGCTGCGTGCGAGAGGAGGGAGGACGGGCTGGATCGGGGCAGAGGGGCCCGAGCAGATGCGGGGAGAGGCAGCAAGGGAAGGAGTTCACCGCACAAACCGTGCCCGCCCTCGGGACAGGTTGCCACGGCCCGCGGGTAGCCACCAGGGATCTCGCCCTCCCTGAGCGCTCAAAGCACGGCACATGCGCTGGGCAGCAGGCAGCATCGCCTCCCTCTGGGCTGGTGTGGTTCCCCGCAAGCTTTCTGGTGCTGCCACATGGGGAAGTTTGGCTATTCAATTGTGGTTTCCTGTGCCATCAGGAGCCGGACAAACTGTAGCTAGCCTTAACTATGGTTAGTGGAAACAAGCCAGCTTCAAACCATAGTTTCTGAAGCTGGCTTGTTTTTATTAGTTGAGATTAACTAATGACTGACTACCAAATGATGAGATGAGAAAAGCTAATTAGTTAAGATGACGCACTAAACTGCAGCTACTTTGGAAAGAAGGAGGGAGCCTCTAATCTCTCCTAGCAAATGTAATGGAGGCGGAAGACACAAATCCAGGAGAGGTTAGGCTCGTTATAGTAATGCAACCAATATCTCAGATCTTCTCAACAGCCCTGTAAGGTAGGTCAGTATATTTATTCTTATATGGCCAATGGGGGATTGCTGGGTCTGCCCTGAGGAATATTGTAAAGCACTTTGAACTTAGATAGCTATAAAAGGAATCGGGACACGTGCAAAAGACAGCTGATGGCCATGGGCCTGCGATGCTAGCCAGGAACTGAGAAGAGGGGGGGTATTTTCTTTCGTGCCCTACAAAATGCAGTGGGGTGCCGGTTGCAGAACTTGGCACCCTACAAACTTCACCTTCGTGTTTAAATAATAAAAGCACGGCATGGTTCTAGCCCAGAAATCTGCAGCCATTCCTCTGGAGGTGTGCAGGCTCATGAAATCTTGGAAGTTCTGCATGTGATCTGCATGCAGAAGGTCTCAGGCTGCATCCTCAGGAAACGCACGCTAGGATCCTGCATCTGTGGGGCCCTGGGAGCGTTGCCAGCCGGAGCAGGCCTGCCTGAGCTGGATGTACCGACTGCCTGACTCCGGAGAAGGCTGCTTCCTGCCCCTTCCTCGGAGCGCTGGGCAGGTACCTCAGACTCAGAAAACAGCTGGAGGAGCTCCCGGGGGAGTCTGGCCCACCCGCTTCCCAAGCAGGAAAGGCGGCATTCTGTGGAGGGGCCAAGGCGGTGGAATTGTCCGGCCCAGGAGACCCCGTCCTCTGCTCCCTGCAGGGCCCGCCTGAGCCGCCCGGCCCCTGTGCGCGGTTGACCCAGGGGGAGGGCAGCCGGTCGTGCAGGGTTGATTCTGCTCCCAGTTTCTCGAGGCTGCCAGGGGCCACGTTGCTCAGCCTTGGAGGCCCTCGTGGGGTGGCTGGCACGCCACAGACTCCTCATCCGAAGCGGGAGCTGAGGGCTGGGTGCAAGAGCGCGTTTTGCGGGGAGAGCCCAGTGCCACCCAGGGCCTCGGTAGGCTGCCCCCAGCCTGGCCCAGTCCAGGATTCGGCCCTTGGCCCCTGCACTGGAAAGGAACCTGGAAAGGTCGCTTGAATTGCAAGCGATGCCCCCGATCGGCTCCCAGCGTGGCAGGGCCCGCATTCAGGTGCACGTGGTCCGTGGCCAGGTGTGGCGATGCCCGAGGGTTTCCAAGCCCTTCCCGGCCAGGATGCCTCCGCCATCCCTCCCCACCCTCCGTTCGGTCCCGCGAGAGGGACTGCAGCCAGGCCGGCTCCCGGCGCCTGCTCGCAGAGATGTCTGCGGCAGTCTCTCCCCTTCCATCCACGGGGCTCCTTCGGGCAGCAAGCGGCCGCGTTCCTTGGCCAGGCCGGCTCACGGCTTTTGCTCCCCGGCTTCCTGTCACGTTTGGACGAGTGCCTGGAAAGGTCCCCCAGAGAGCCGAGGTCTCGGCGAGCCACGCGGTCGCGGCTGGAGATCCGGTGGGGCTGGACGTGCAGCTGGAGCCTCTGCAGCAGGGCGTGAGCGCGCGCGCACAATCGCTTTCTGTACCAGGGCCCATCCTCCACCGGAGCACGCCCGCCTGGAGTCCTGCAGGGAGGCCGCCCCCCTTCCCCAGCTGGGCTCTGTTTGCCGCTGGCATCTTTCCCAGGAGCCGGGAGCCGGTGCGGTGTGCGTCCCCCTTCCCCGAGGGCGGCTGCAGGCGCCCCGTCACGGCCTCCGCACAGGGCCGCCAGAGCCATCCATCGTGTGAGCCGCTCTCCCTGCTGGTCGGCCGGCCGGCGGCCTCTCCGTAATGGCGCAGGCGGGGCAGGGCAGGGCCCCCAGCGGGACCCCGGTGCAGGGGCTTCCTGCCTGCTTCCGCGCAGACGGCCCGGCCCTCCCCTCGTCCCGCAGTCTGGCTCCCGGGGGCTGCTGGGCCTCAAGGGAGCGGCTGCCTTGGCCGGCTTTCCCCAGGCCGGCCTGCGCAGCACACCGGCTCCCCCCGCGGCCCGGCTGATCTCACCCATTAGCCGGGCTGCCTCCCCTCCCGACCTGGCAGGGACCCACAGCCATCTTCCCTTTCGGGTGCCCCCACAGAAGTGGCGCTGGAGCAGAATTAATCGGGGCGTCAGACTCGGGAGGGCAAGGGGCCTGCGTCACGGGGCGGCCTGAGGACCGAGCAGAGGGATGCGCTGGAGGGAGCCCGGCCTCGCAGAGGGACGCGGGGGCCCCCTTGCGGGAGCCCCGGCCCTGGCGGGGACACCCCCCTTCTCCCTGAAATGGCCAGCGTGCACGTCTGCTCTGAACCAGGGCTCCCCACACAGGGAAGCCCAGGAGTCAGAGGGAAGGTTCCCAGCCAGACCTTCCCTCCGAGACATCACCCATCTGGATGCCTTTTTAAATTTTGGCAAGGAGGTGCCCTTGAGGTGAGCGCCGGGGACGAGTCCGGCATCCTGCCACGCAACCGGCTGCCCTTGTGGGGCGTGTGGGGGCTGGCCCAGGCCTCTCGCCTCCGGGGGGCAGCCAGGCTAGTGGGTCAGCCATGGGGCCGCCGAACATATGCCAGGCGGCTGGCGGGAAGAGCTCAGGCTGACACGCTTTCCGGGGTGCCCATAACATGGCGAAACGTGAGAAAGACGCTTCTTCTAAGACATCGCAGAAACCGTCTCCGATTGCCGACGTGAAAGGCGGAGAGCCAATGGGAAGCGGCGGAGGAGGAAAAGGAGGTCTTCCTCTGCGGTGGCGCAGCGACGGGAGAGCCGCGAAAGGCTGGGCCCCGGCGTGGCCCTCTGGCCGTCTTCCGGGACACACGGTGCTGTGCTTCTGAAGCGGGAGGTGGCCGGACTCACAGGCTGCTTGGTCATTTCATCTCGTGGACGAAGGCGAGGCGCTCTGCACATGCACAGATGCACTGTCACTGCGTAATGTTGTGAGAGCCAGTGAGAGTGGTGTGGTGGTTCCCAGGGACCCAGGAAGTCCAGATTCCAGTCCCCACTCGGCCATGACTCTGGGCCAGTCACTCCCGCTCAGCCTAATCCACCTCACAGGGTTGTTGTTGTGAGGATGAAATGGGCCCACATCTGCCACCTTGGGTGCCTCACTAGAGGGAAAAGGCAGTTTAATCATACTCAGCAACAGTACTGGATGCACCGAAAATAACTTCCGAGCCTGCAGGGGCCTGGGGTCTGGCTTGCATCAAGCCCTGTGGGCACCCAGCCTGCTTGCTGGGCAGACATCATAGGGCCGTGGCGATTCTCGGGGGAAAGGTACCTTCAGCCGTAGAGGAAACCTGCTTCCAGAAGGAACTCTGGAGTCCAAAATGTGACGCTGGACGTTCGCTGTGTTGCTCCAAGACCACCGGGGTTACGTCTGGCCTGTTCTCGCTCACGCGGGAGGAGGCGATCCACGGGGCTCCTGCGCCGGGGCCTGAGGAGCCGGCCAGAGGGAGGCCTTCCCCGCTCCGGCCTGCGGGATCCCGCGGCAGCTGCTTTGCCACCGTGCGTGCAGAGTGCCGGACTGGATGGCCCACGGGTCTGATCCAGCCGGGCTTTTCTTCAGTCCAGCTGCAGCCCAGCTGTGGCAGGGAGGGGAGCTGCACGTACGGCGGAGCCCAACACAGCACCGTGGCGACAGGCTGCTGCAGACGGGCCGTGATGGAGGAGCAGGGATCGCTGAAGACGGCACGAAGAGGAATTTGTGTTATTCGTTGCCTGTCTGCAGAAGTGCTCTGGAATTTGGATGATGTGGGGAGAGGAAGCGGAGCACACGCTGCCCTCTCCCCGTTTTGGCTGTGCTGACCGGTATTTGCTCCTCGGGGGCTGGCGCGGGGCTTCCCCCCCACCCACCTTTGCTCACTGAGGCTCTCCAGCCCAGGACGCCCAGGAGAACACAGGGGCTTTCTGTATGCAAATCGTCCGTTCTGCAACTCTGCACAACACCAGAAAGGGTGGTGGTGAGGCCAGGCCTGGTGGGCTTAGAGGTCTCTTCTGGGAGCCAGCAGGAGCTCTTCCCCTCCACCTCAGATATTAAGGACATGCTCCAGCCCTTCTTGCGGGATTTTGTCCCCGTGGGGTGATGTGTACTTGGCAGAGTTGGACTCGAACCCGGCCATCCGTGGTCCCACCCGCTGCTCAGCCACGAAGCTCCGCGAGTGCTTGGCCTGGTGCTGCATCTCAGTGCGGTCTACATGCCAGGGTTGTTGCTAGGCTGCACACAGGACAAACCCGGAGACAGGGTGGCCGGAGCGCCTCGTCTTAAGTAAGTCGCAGGAGGGGCTGTTCCAGGCAGTGCTTTTCCACACGGGGACACGGAGCTTCACCCTCGGAGCTTCGGGGCCAGTTCAAGACTCCCCCGCCTGCTCTCCATCCCAGTCCAGATCCTGTGAGCCAGCCTTCTCACAGCAGGGACAGTGTGCCAACATGCTGGGAAACGGAGAATTTCAGCTGCAGCG